AGGATTAGAGTTAGTTTTAGAGTTGAGATTGGGTGTATGGTTAAGATTAAGGTTAGGATTAGGTTAAGGGTTAGGATTAGGTATAGACAGGCATAATATTAGGGTTAAAGTTAGCATTAGAGTTGAGGTTTAAATTAAGGTAGGGTTAGGGTTAACAATAGGGTTAGGGTTTATGTGAAAATTAGGTTTGAATGTTAGGATTATGGTTAGTGTTGAGATTAGGTGTAGGGTTAGGATAAGGATTAGGATTAGATTTGAGATTAGGTTTAGGGTTAGTATTAGGTTAAGAGTAGTATATGGTTAGGGATAGGGTTCCAATTGGATATAACATTAAACAGAGTTAAGATTAAGTTTAGTGTTGAATTTTGGTATAGGTTTAGGGTTAGGTTTGATGTTAGTAGTAGTGCTAAATTAATGTTATGATTGAAATTAGTATGTCTTTGGGTTAGGGTTGGTTTTGAGATTAGAATTTGGTCTGGTTTCATTTGGTATAGCTGCTACCTTTGATGTGAATGGCTTCTCATCTGAAGGAGTCTTTAATATCCATTACTGAGTGTCAAAGACAAGGGAAGATGCTCATTTGCAGTTAGACATCTGATAAGGTCCCTCCCAATGAGGTTGGAGAGTGAGTGGATTTTATTTGATTTTCTTTTTTCTTTAATAGAGAGGAAGGGAGAGGGATAGAGAGTTAGAAACATCAATCAGCTGCCTCTTGCACACCCCCTACTGGGGATGTGCCCGCAACCAAAGTACATGCCCTTGCCCGGAATCAAACCTGGGACCCGTCAGTCCACAGGCTGACACTCTATCCACTGAGCCAAACCGGTCAGGGCTGATTTTCTTAAAAACACACACAACAAAAAACAATATCTAAAGTCTGTGCCTTCTGCAACCTTTCTGTGAAAGGAGTGATTAATTACCAACTTGGCAGTTTCTTTCTTTTTTTTTTTTTTTTTAATATATTTTATTGATTTTTTACAGAGAGGAAGGGAGAGGGATAGAGAGTCAGAAACATCGATGAGAGAGAAACATCGACCAGCTGCCTTCTGCACATCCCCCACCGGGGAAGTGCCCGCAACCCAGGTACATGCCCTTGACCGGAATCGAACCTGGGGCCCTTCAGTCCGCAGGCCGACGCTCTATCCACTGAGCCAAACCGGCTTCGGCAACTTGGCAGTTTCTTAAAGTGACTCTATCAAACACTGGCAATAATGTGAGATGTCTCCTTTCAATAATTTCAGCTCATAAGTTTCTTCCATCTAATTTAAGTCAGCTTAAATGCACTATGATGCATGAAAGAATGCAAAAGCTGAAATCTGGGCAGCCAGGGATCATTAAAGAACCAAGTGGTTGTCTTGGGTTTCTTATAGCCCTGTTTGTTTAATTTACAACCATTGTTTATCCGTACAATATACCTTAAACGTTTTTTTTTTTTATCACTTATTTTACAGTGCTTCCCATAAAATTTAACACAAAAGACAAATCTTTTGAGTGGTTCCAGAGGTCCTTCTGCAATACTGCATTGTTACTTCTACATGTAGTACTGAGATTTTAACCCGTAAAACCTCAATTTCTAATGAAAACTAAGATATAAGCAATTAGCATTCTTTATATTGGACATTTTATAACCTCTAGAAACATATTTCATAGACATCAAAGTCAATGATTATAGACTTATTTTTGTAAGACCTGGGTAAAATATTAATGATTCAAAAATTTAAAGTAACAAAAATTTAAACTAACTTTTATTTATTAAAGTTTAATTTTAGATCATGTAAACTTGAAAAAGCATTTGAGCTCATTTCTATATTTTAGAATACCCTCTCCTTACTAGTGCTTGCCTTTAATTTTAACAATACCATCTGGAGGTAGAAAATTATCTCACATTTAAACATACATATATAAATAGGCACAAAGAGAGAACAGTTGGATCAAAATTTTGGGAGGCATTTTATTTATTTACACACACACACACACACACACACACACACACACACACACACACGCCAGTGCACGTGCACGGGTGGGGTCCGGCCGGCCCTGCCCCAATTGGGGTGGATCAGGGCTGGGCCTGTTGGGAGGAGAAGATGGCGGGAGGTTGGCCGGCTGGCCCACTCCCATCAGGCCTGATCAGGGATGGGCCGCAGGCAATTGGCAGGCCCTGCCCCTGATTGGGTTGGGGGGCCAATTGGGGGTGGGCTGGCCATGGGGAAGGGCTGTGGGCCAGCCGGCCATGCCCCTGACAGGGATGGGGGTGCCGATCTGGGGTGGGGCTGGGTCAAGGGAGGGGCTGCAGGAGGTTGGCTGGCCAGCCCTGCCCCCTATTGGGGGCGGGGGGGGGGGCAACCAAGGGTGGGGCCAGCCAGGGGAGGGGCTGTGGGCCGACCAGGGTAGTCGGGGCCATTGGGGGTGGGGCTGGCTAAGGGGAGAGGCTACAGGAGGTTGGCCGATTGGCCCTGCTACTGGCCCTGCTACCTATTGGGGTGGGGGGTGCGATCAGGGGCGGGGCAGCTGGGGGGAGGGGCTGCAGGTTGGCTGGCTGGCCCCACCCCCTATTGGAGTGGGAGGGGTGCAATCAGGGGCAGGGCTGGCCAGGGGAATGGGGGAACATTTGGCCAGCTGGCCCTGCCCTTGATCAGGGTGGGAGAGTCTGATCAGGGGCAGGCCAGCCCTGATAGGGCCGGTTCGCAGGCCATAGTGGGAGTCATAGCAACCGATCATTCTGGTGTTATGGTTGCTGGCTTTTTATATATATAGATGTGTGTGTATGTATGTCCTTGACAAGTCAAGTGCCAAATGACCTTCCCCCTTTTAAAATAAGGTCAGCCATCTGACATAATAAAAGGCTAATATGCAAATCGACTGAACAGTGGAATGACTGGTTGCTATGACAGGCACTGACTACCAGACACTCAACGCAGGAGCTGCCCCCTGGTGGTCAGTGTGCTCCCACAAGGGGAGTGCTGCTCAGCCAGAAACCAGGCTCACAGCTGGCGAGTGCAGTGGCAATGGTGGGAACCTCTCCCGCCTCCGCGGCAGTTGGACATCCCCCAAGGGCTCCCGGACTGCAAGAGAGCGCAGGCCAGGCTGAGGGACCCCCTCGCCCCCGAGTGCAAGAATTTCATGCACCGGGCCTCTATAATATTCAGTAAAGAGGCAGTGGTTAAGTGCACAGACTGGGTTCAAATCTGGGCTCTATCATTTACTAGCCAGTAACTCAGGCAAGTAACATTAAGTGTACCATACCAGTTTTCTCATCTGTAAAATGGGGATATTAATAGCACATACTTTTGAAGCTTACATTGAGTATTCAATAAGTTAATATTCATAAGGCATTCAGAAGAGTGTCCAGTATATAGAAAGAGCTATATAAGTGACTGATCATTTATTAATGTATTGAAATACTTGGCTATAAAAATATGGCCCCTACATAAAAAGAAGAAATTCACAAGAAAATAATCCTGTTGCTTAGTTACATTGCATCAACATATGTAAATAAAAATTACAAAATTACAAAAATGAATGTTAATTTATAACCAAAATGGAAGACTTGAATACACATCTATTACTAAATGTAAATAAGTTTGAGGAAAAAACTTTGTGCATACTATATAAAAAAATGAGCTTGAGTTAATGGGCATCCTATATAATAAAAGGCTAATATGCAAATAGACTAAACGGTGGAACAACTGAACAACCAGTCGCTATGATGTGCACTGACACCATGGGGAGTGCACAGAACATGGCGGGCGTCGGCTGCAGTGGGGTGGTGGAGCAGGAGAGTGGGGTGGCAGACCAAGGCAGGACACCGGTCACTGTCATCGGGGTGAGCCTCTGGTGGTTACTGAAAATTCTTTGCTCCCATGTGCTGTAATCCCACCAGGCACTTGCACCCACTGCCAGCGACAGCCCGCTTGTACCCGCTGTGGGTGCTGGAGCTGTTGCTCACATCCACTGCCAGTGCCCAGCGCTGGTCCCAATTGCTTGGCACCATCAGTGGGAGCAAGCAGCTGCCAGCCCTGATCGCTTCTCCAACTCCCTCTGCTCCTGAGGGGCGATTGGGGCAGCAACTGCTGCTCACACCCGTTAACAGTGCCGGCCACAATCGCGCCTTCAGTGGGTGGGAGTGGCAGCGGCGGGAGTGGGGCTGCAGGCAGACAGGTGACCGGGGGTGCGGAGGATGGGCTGAGACCCACTCCTGTGCCTACTGCAGCCTCACAGCCCACAGTTCTTTTCAAGGTGCATGAATTTGTGCACTGGGCCCCTAGTATACTCTGTATTTAAAAATTACAGAATGCACAATGTTTTTAAACAAATATGAAACATTTATAAAATCTGACTAATAGGTTTACCAGTAAAATATTGCATTCAGCTGGATATTAACACACCTCCTCAAAACTAAATCCCCAAAATCACTCAGAGGTTACTTTTAATAATTTAAGGAGAAGCCTAAGAAAAAGCAATCTGGAGTTGATATAGCCAATCAGAAGTTTCTGGGGAGCCCATATCATTGTGATTTTTAAAATCATCGTAATCAAAATATAGCTTTTTCAATTCTAGGCTTTGAGCCCACTTTCAAGGGAAAAATTAGTAAAGGTGAAGAGAATATAGTGAGGCAAACAAGCCAGATGATGTTCCACCCAGTGACTCTACCTACTTATGGCCAGAAGAGGAAGTCAACACATCCTTGGGCTTCAGGAAAGCTTTACATACTGAGTATTTTCAATACTGCCTGACAACTTGAACAAAATGTTTCTTTAAGTGAGTAAGTAGGGGAGAATGGGCACTGAAGAAGAAGCTAAAAGTAACTGCTATATTAGGATATAAATATAAAAAAGAATCAACATCATAAAGTCCACTTGACAAAAATGCCATTAAATGAGAAGAAAAGTATATAACACATAGTGTTTCATTATGATAAATGAAATCACTCAGGAGACATTCAGAAATACCTTTGTCATGTATTGATATCTTCAAAGAGTAAATATTATATACCAAACTATGGAATAAAACTTCAGGTTTATTTTAGGGTATAGCTATGGACATAAATGTTTATACTAAAACAACTGAAAATAAATAAATAATGGACCAACCTAAGGATTAGACACTGTTAAAGGTAATATACCACACTCTTAAGGTTTACATTTTCCATTCCCAGTTTAAATTATTTTGTGGCTACTCCGTGAAGAGGTGAGGCTGAGCCATCCTCATACCGATTACATTCCTAGGGTCTCCCTCTACTGTGAATCCTCACAAGTCAACAAAGACAGGAATCATGGAAAGATCTTCCAAAATTAATACACTGACAGGTTTTGCATCCAGGGAGTATTTAATATTTTTCCTAATGTAAAGGGTATCATTAAAGGCATTCCCTCAATCTTTATATTCTGTGCAGTGAGTTCTCAGTTTCCTAAGAATGGGAAAAATGGAAGACTTTCCAGTACTGATTACATTTAAGAGGACTTTCTCCCCAGAATAAATCCTCATCTCTCTCAAAAACTGAGAGAACATTAAGGCTTTACTGTTGCACTCAGAGTACCTCACCATTGTTTTCTCAGTAATGAATGTGCTGTGGGGTTTTCACATTCCTTATATGAGTATTTCTCTGTACTGATTTATCACATGTACTGGGCACATTAAGGTGAGTTTGAGCTGAAAGCTTTCCACAAAGATTGCACTCATAAGGTTTTTCTCCAGAGTGAATTAACCCGAGAGTTGCTCAATGATACTTCATATCAAATCAATGTGGAAAGCTGAAGGCCTTTCTTCACTGAGTTCATGACAAGCATCTCAGATGTTTCCCAAGGATCTCTCTCTCCTGGTATACACTCCTTGTGTAGGCTTCTTCCACACTGTATCAGGATTGATCTGTGTGTCCAATACAATATGGAAGTGATAACATGCCCTTCCAAGGCTAGATTATAAAAGACAACATGGCTTCGGCATTAGCTCTCCCTCAGATCAGATGCTTTGGAGGAAACCTGGTGCTACACATAAAAATGCTCAGGCCCATGGAAAATCCTACATGGTGAGGAAATGAAGGTTCCCTGGCAACATCCAGCACTAACTTTCCAGGCATGTGAGTCAGCCATTTTAGAAAAGACTCTTCAGCAGTAAAAATACAGATGATTGTAGCTTCTGATGACAATCTTGACCCTCATGAGAGACATTGAGCCAGAACTACAAAATTAAGCCATTTATGAACTTCTGACTTTCAGAAATTGTGAGATAATAAGTGTTTGTTGTTTGAGGCCACTATGTTTTGGAGGGAAATTGGCTAGGCAGCAACAGGTAACTCTAACACCTGGCATGAGTTACCACAAGTTGTCTGAGGGATTAAAAAATCAATGAATGCTTTCCCAGTTACTGTATTCAAATCCACCTATTATGTATTTTCTTATGCACAGAAAGGTAAGAATTAGTGGTGAAAGACTTTCCACAATGGTTACATTCATAGGGTTTTTCTCCAGTGTGAGTTCTCACATGTTTCTTAACAGCCGAGAGATTATTAAAAGCTTTTCCACAGTTACTGCATTCATAGGGTTTCTCTCCAGTATGAATTCTTTTGTGCACAGTAAGAGAAAAGCTACTGCTGAAGGATTTGCCACACTGATTACACATATAGGGTTTTTCTCCAGTATGAGTTCTCATATGCTGTGTCAGATAGGAGCTCTTTCTGAAGGTTTTCCCACAATCATGGCACTCATAAGGCTTCTCCCCTGTATGGATACTATTGTGCCCAGTCAGAGAGGACCTTGTGCTGAAGGCCTTTCCACACAGATTACATTCATGATGATTCTCTCTCGTATGAATTCTCTTGTGGCTTTTGAGGTTACAACTAGTACGGAAAACATGAAAACACTGGTTACATTCATAAGGTTTTTCTCCAGTGTGAATTCTTACATGCAGTCTGAGGGATGAGGGATCATTGAAGGCTTTCCCACAGTCATTGCATTCATAAGGTTTCTCCCCATTATGTATTCTCTTATGAATAGTAAGATAAGATCTACTGCTGAAAGATTTTCCACATTGATTACAGTCATAAGGTTTTTCTCCAGTATGAATTCTCTTGTGCTGAGTAAGGTTAGATTTTGTGCTGAAGACTTTAAAACACTGATTACATTCATTAAGTTTCATTCCAACATGATTTCTTTCCTGTTGATAGAGATAAATAACTGTAATTCATAATATTTTTAATATTCAGTGTTGTCATACAAATTCTCTCTCCCAGGAATTATGCTAATTAATATAATTGATGTTTTCACTATTTTCAGTGCTTGTATAAGACATGTGCCCAGTTTGAGCTCTTAGAAATTAAAAAAGATACAAGTCCTTACCATACAAGAGCATTTTTTGATAAATTTAAGACCACTTTATGATTCAACAGACAATATCTTAGTCACATTTAAGGAAATAATTTACTTCTGGAAACTCTCAGTGAAAAAACTATTTTGAAGCTAACTTATAATTTTCTCCAAATTCACAATTTTCCCACAACATCTCTCCAGAGACACCAGTTTATCTTGTGTAAATGATACTCCTTTTTATCTTGTGGTTTTCTAACTTAGAGAATTCTGTGAAAAACCAAGAATCACCATGTTAGTCTTACCGCTTTTACACCATTAGAACGTTTTTTCCTAAAAACATGCTTCTTAGGTGTTAACCATTTGGCTTTAAGTATAGTCTCCACATCTGAAACAAATTGAAAAGGAATTTAAGTTGGTAGAGAAAAGAAAAAGTATACACATGAGTAAAGCCAGACTCTGAGAGATTAGGGTTTTTTAGGAGATTTGCAGCAAAAGGGATGAGTATGCAAATTGTAGGTTTTAAGAAAGGATTCTAGAAGGATTAAGATTTGTCAGAGATTTCTAAGAGAAGGAATTATCAGGGATGTAAAGTAGAAAGAAATTGGACAAAAAGTTAAAAAAAGACTTAAACAAAACAAGACAAAACAAAAACAAGGGAGACGAAAGCCTCTGAGTCCAAAGTAAAGTATAAGATGCTGAACAGCAAGTTAAAAGGGAAAAAATGCTCATATCAAATGTTCTTGGCCATCTCCATCAGAAAAATAAAGGACACTTTACAAAGTTCTCTGATATTTCTTAATGTAATACGTACTTCCATGTCCCAAATCACTGGCCACAGCTATTCCTCACAAAGAGTCATATCCTCCTGGTGCTCACCTGAACAAATGCCTGGGAGAATTCCTCTTTCTTCTGTCATCACCTTGTCTTCTTGCCCCAACTGAGAGATTAGGCTGAGTTTATCAACATGATACCCTAATCATGGAGAAAAGACATGCTGAAGGGGACTGTGCTGGTGACAAGCAACTCCATGAAAATGATGCCAACAATTCTATAGAGGCCAAGTGAGACTTTTAGAGTAATGGAATAATTATACCTAAATTCTAATGAATACTATAACTCCCAAGGAACAAATATACAAGATCCTTATTCAATATCTAGGTGACAGGGCATAAATATCTAGGGGTTGACCCTTGAATGAGGGGATTAGGGGAACTGACTACCTGCACAGTCAAAACTCTGCATTTAATTTGATTCCCCCAAAACTTTAGTTGTCCCTTGGTATCCGTGGGAGATGGGACCTCCTGTGGATACCAAAATCCACAGATGCTCAAGTCCTTTATATAAAATGGCATAGAACAATGCATACAGTTTGCTTTCTACATTCACAGATTCCCAACCCATGGATCAAAAATACTGTTTTTGATCGGTGGTTAGCTGAATCTTCAGATGTGAAGCCTAGGGTATGACGGGCCAACTGTATTATTATTGAAAAAATATCTATGTATATCTATGTATAAATGGGCCCATATAGTTTAAACCTGTTATTCAAGGGTCAACTATAGTCCCAAAGCCCATGTCAAAGTCTAAATTACACACATCAGAAGCTCTAAAGATTTTAACCATGGAGATAATAAAGTCAGGGTAAGAAACATATTCAGTTCATAGGGTAGGCATCAGTCACAAAGCTCTGTGAGGGTAGAGAACATGTTTGTCTCATTCATGTAATGAGTACAGACCCAGGAACACAGACTGAGGAACACAGAAGTGTGTAAGAAATTCTAGTGAGAAGTCATGACATTGAAAACAAGAAATACTAAATTCCAAAAGCTTATCCCTATACAATGAATAAACTGGCAAAAACTTTAAGAGTTAACTTTATTAGATTATAGCAACCAGGAAAATGCTTAATCAAGGAAAAAAAACAGCTGACATTTTAACCGATCCTTGATTAATTCTCCATTTCATGCTTTGGCTGTGACCTTGAAGACAACAGCCCACATTCCTAATACTGGAGGGAGCAGAATAGACCATTATCTCAAGGAACTGTGATTGTTTGTTTAGACCTTTCTGAAGGTTTGGCTCAAAGGGCTTGCATTCATTTATCTAATCCCAAACTCTCCAAGGGCTGAGCTATGCTAAACACATTTAAAGGCAAATATATCAGCCACCATCACCTGAAGCGAGGGAAAACCGTAGAAGAAAACAAAAGACTGACCGAAAACTTGGGAGGAAAAGTGTGGAACAATGTATTTTTGAGAATTTTTGAAAAGCTCTTTCATTTATATTCCTTTTGTAGTTGAAAAAAGGGTGCTGTAATAAATCATAAATTCCTCCCCTCGCTGGTTTGGCTCAGTGGATAGAGCATCAGCCTGAGAATTGAAGGGTCCTGGGTTCGATTCTGGTCAAGGGGTTGCGGCCTCGATCCCCAGAAGGGGGTATGCAGGAGGCAGCCTATCAATGATTCTCTCTTATCATTGATGTTTCTATATTTAAAAAAATAGATCATAAATTCCTAATTAGACAGGTCATGGTGGGTAGTCATACAACACAACTTTGTTTTTTTAAAATAGTTTATTGATTTTTAGCGAGAGGAAGGGAGGAGAGAAATGTCGATGTGAGAGTGCAACATCAATTGGCTGCCTCCTGCACGATGACCCCGACCGGGATCAAGCCCACAACCTGAGCATAGATGCCTTTGACCAGGAATAGAACCGGGAACCCCCTGGTGCATGGGACAATGCCTAACCAACTAAGCAACACTGGCCAGGGCACAACATAACTTCTTCTTTTTTTTTTTTTAACATAACTTCTTTAGTGAGAGGTTTTTAAGCAAGCCCTGCCTGTTGGTCTTGAGCATCTAAATTAACACAGCTTACTCCCCGAAGGCATGACCACCCTAAAGAAAGCGCATAATCTTAACCATCCTGTAATTTGATCTACACCTTGCTTGCTTCCATTTTCCTGTAATCTTCCTTGTGTTTCCTCCTTAATTTCAAATGCATAAAAGAAACTGAAAAAACTGCTATTCTCCACAGCATTTGAGATTTTGATTCCTGGCAATTGTCATCAGTTTTGCTCAAATGAACTCTTATAAAAATGCTTTACTGCTGAACCGGTTTGGCTCAGTGGATAGAGCGTCGACCTGCGACCTGCGGACTGAAGGGTCCCAGGTTCGATTCCGGTCAAGGGCATGTATCTTGGTTTCGGGCACATCCCCACTGGGGGGCGTGCAGGAGGCAACTGATCGATCTCTCTCATTATGTTTCTAACTCTCTCTCTCCCTTCTCTGTAAAAAATCAATAGAATATATAAAAAAAAATTCTTTACAAGTTTTGGCCATTTTTGACATTGACACTTTTAATCTGGTAGCCTTGTGCATACTCGGGGTGGGCACATGCTCAGAAAAGACGTGAAAAAGCACTAAGTCCTCAGCTTTGGCTGACCTTTAGGCTTTATTCATAAGCAGGCTGTGAAGGCTATGGCGAGTGTAAACCCCATTATATACTCAGAGCCCATCTGCAGAGACTAGGGGACGTTTGTTTCTGTTCCAGGTATACAAGGCGTTTTCAACATAGCAGTCTTCAGTAGCCACACACAACAAATACAGACATTACCAAATTAGTTCAGAAACATCACTAAACATACAGCAAAAACAAACCCTGGGGATGAGAAAAAGCTGATTCCAGAATTGCCATATGATAGTATCACAAATGTCTAATTTTCAGCCAGTAAAATTACAAGGCAGGCAAAGAAATAAATTTATGGCCCATTATAGGAAAAATATAGAAATGGTCCCTGGGGAAACTTAAACATTAAGCTTAGTAGATAATTTTTAAAAATATACTTTATTGATTTTAGAGAGAGAGGAAAGGAGAGGGAGGGAGGGAGGGCGGGCAGGAGAGAGAAGCATCAATGTGTGAGGGAAACATTGCTTGGTTACCTCCCACAACCTGGGTATATGCCCTGACTGGAATCAAACCAGTGACCTTTGGTGCACAGGATGACGCTCAAGCAACTGAGCCATACCGGCCAGGGCTAGATAAAGAATTTAAAACACCTATTTTAAATATGCTTAAAGACGCCGAAACCGGTTTGGCTCCATGGATAGAGCGTCGGCCTGCAGACTCAAGGGTCCCAGGTTCGATTCCGGTCAAGGGCATGTACCTTGGTTGCGGGCACATCCCCAGTAGGGGGGTGTGCAAGAGGCAGCTGATCGATGTTTCTCTCTCATCGATGTTTCTAACTCTCTATTCCTCTCCCTTCCTCTCTGTAAAAAATCAACAAAATACATTAAAAAAAAAAAAAAGAATATTTGAAGAGATAATGGCTAAAGACTTAACCAAACTTGATGAAAAAACATAAATATACACTACCAAGATTGAAAAACCCCAGATAGGTTAAACTGAAAGAGACAGAGATCACTCCCAGCAGTAATGTATCTACTCTATAAGAAATGCTATTGGGACATTTTCAGACTGAAATAAAATGACAATGAATTATTACTCAAATCCACAAAAAGAAATAAACAACACTGATAAGGAAAATACATAGGTAAATATAATTGTCAATGACAATTGCTTTTTGAGAGGTTTATAACGCCTTCATTTCTATTCTGTAACTCTTTTTTCCTATATGACTTAAAAGAAATGCTTAAAAGAACTGCCCTAGCCAGTTTGGCTCTGTGGATAGAGCGTCGGCCTGTGGACTGAAGGGTCCTGGGTTCGATTCCAGTCAAGGGCATGTACCTCAGTTGCAGGCTCCTCCCTGACCCAGGCCCTGGCTGGGGAGCATGCAAGAGGTAACCCTCTCTCTTACATCGATGTTTCTCTCTTTTTCTGTCTCTTCCCCTTCCACTCTCTCTAAACATCAGTGGAAAAATATCCTTGGGTGAGGATTAAAAAAAAAGAGAGAGAAATGCTTAAACCAATAATTGTAAATCTATGTTAATAGCCACACAATGTATAAGATATAAGGGGCGATAAAGCATTATAAAGTGAGGGAGGGGATATGCATGGTATAGCTATATAGGAACAAAACTTTGGTATACTATTGAACAAAGTTGGTATTAAATCAAAATAATTATAAATTAAAATGTTAATTATAATCCCCAGGACAGCCACTAAAAATAACTAAAAAAAAAAAACCAATGTCACCCCAATAAATTCAATAAAAAAATAAAACTAAACTGAACAAAAAATGAGCAGGGAATTAAAATGGCCCACTAGAAAATACAGAACACAAAAAAATAAATAATAATGGAGGAATTGAGGAACAAATAAAACACAAATAACAAAATGGCATAAACAGGTTCTTCTTCATCAGTAACTACAGGCCCAGTGCACGAATTTGTGCACAGGTGGGGTCCCTTGACCTGGCCGGCAATTGGGGCCCTCTTGCCCAGTCCCCATCAGCTGGACCCCAGCAGCAAGCTAACCTACTGGTAAGAACGTCTTCCCCTTTGTGGTCAGTGTGCATCACAGCAACTGGTCAGACACTTAGAATATTACACTTTTATTATATAGGATTATCTTACATGTAAATGGATTAATCTGTGTCCAACTAAAAGGCAGATTTTGGCAGAGTGGACAAAACAATCATCCAATTATATGCTATCTATAAGACACTCACTTTACATCTAAAGACATTAATTGGTTGAAAGTCAACTACTGGGAAAATTTTTTTTTTTTAAATATATTTTATTGATTTTTTACAGAGAGGAAGGGAGAGAGATAGAGAGTTAGAAACATCGATGAGAGAGAAACATTGATCAGCTGCCTCCTGCACATCTCCTACTGGGGATATGCCTGCAACCAAAGTACATGCCCTTGACCAGAATCAAACCTGGGACCTTTCAGTCTGCAGACCGACGCTCTATCCACTGAGCCAAACCGGTTTTGGCAACTGCTGGGAAAATTTATTCCATGAAAACAGCAGATAAAAGAGAGATTGTGTAGCTATATTAAGTTCAGGCA